TCTTGATGGTATTCAATAAAGAATTGAAAGAAACTGAAATGATGCCACTTCAAGTGATCAGAATTGGTAAAATCAAATGTACGAATGGTCGAAAGAAGTCAAAACTGGTGGGTGTTAAGCGAGAAGAGAGAGCGAAACGTCTCCTTCTAATGGGAATGCTTTTGCAGAAGGAGAAAGATCTCGAACTAGCAGCAAAAATTGGACAGTCACTTTTGGAGCAAAATCGCGAACTACAAAATAGGTCAGTTTGTTCTGCTCTAATATCGCTAAATGCATTCTATTACTATTTGTCATAACGACAATCCATGATGAATTACCATTTTTTATGACCAAAATTGCATTGCTGTGATGAAACGATAGTAATAGCAATAGAAAAAAATACTGCAATAAATATAATAGCAGCAATACAACAATGGCAATACAACAAGCAATACAGCAATAAAAATAAATCATAAAATTTAAAAATGAGGCAAATGGCGAATAATTGACGGTTCTTTTTTGTAGTGTCAATCATTTTGCAATCAAAATTTGTTCCCATTCAACGAATTAGAAAGTTCAAATCAGTTTTTTTCGTCAGTTCGAGTGATATTCAATCGGAAGTTTCGACGCTATCTTATCGCATATTCGAAACTGTTTAAGATGATTTCAAACACAGCTTAGTATTCAGCTTACAGTTAGTATTCGTTAATTTAGTGATAGTTTTCACTTTATTCTATTTGAAACGAAGTTTTGCAAACCGTTATCCTCTTCCGATCTGCTCTCGTGCTCTTTCGTTGATGGTTCACTTTATGAAAATTTCAGAAACGATTTTCTTGAAGAATCGTTGAATGCCAGCAACGAAACCGTTGTACAGTTACGGCATGAACTTCAGATGCGTATCAATCTGTTGCACGTTTACGCTGATTATGACGACTACAATGAGGCATGCGGATCCAGGTGAGACTCTATTCCAGGGATTCTCAATTTGAAGTCTATGGATCCTCTGAGGGTCCGAGACGGCATACCAGGGACTCCGAGAGAGGGTGGCATGAGAGGGGGTGCGAGTGTGGATGCGATGAGAGGATGTAAGTGAGGAGTGCGGGAGGGTATGCGAGGTAAGATAGAGGGTAAGAAGGTATCCTAAAATTTTCTAGGGGGTCCACGGAGCAAAAAAGGTTGAGAACGATTGCTCTATTAGTTGCACTTTTTTTATGTGATCAATTGTTTCGTTCGAACTGGTCTCATCTCATCTTCAGTTTCATTGCGTTGCTTTACGAATCAGAATTATGTCTGCTGATGTCAACGCTTGAGTACTATCGATGGTGGATCGTCTTGAAAAGGATTCGAACTGATTCGTTGAGTACTTCCATAGATGAAATTGTCATTGTGATGAGTGCATTTCGAAGGATATTCGAAACTACATTTTATCGCTAAAGATACTTCTAATAATTTATGACTGTCACCTTTGCGATTTCTTACCCATGACACTTCTAACGTTCGGGTTTCTTACACAAGCTTAAGGAAAAGAATGAACAGAACTGCATCAGAGTGCTTGGAACTTCTTCTGTTCTCTTTAAAGACTTCTTTATTTATCTCCTTCATTTCGAAACTATCTATCTCATCGGTTTATTGAGTTCCTCCTCGGTAACATCTCATCACTACTCTCAAATGCGTGATGAAAACTAATCTGCGAAACTAGGTTTGGAACGCTTGAGCATTCAAATTCGAATATTCTGT